ATCACATGCAATGGATGCAGTTCTTTCCCGGCTCTTCCTCGACTTCCACAAAAGCGCTCCTTGAAAGCCGATGTCAGAACCCACTGCTGCTTCCAAAAACATCGAAACAGAACTGAATTTGTGCTATGGCTGCTTCCTTCCTCCAAAACCGCAAGATTGACGTTGATGGAGTTTTCCCCGGTCTCTCCTGTTCGACCTACCAGAACCAAAAATGGGATTACAAAGTTCCATGGAAGAAACTGCTGCTCCTTTCAAAACATCAAAATGGTTTCAGGTACTCCTTTATGGCTGCGTCCTTTCCCCCAAAACCGACGTTGTCTTGTTCGATGGAGTTCTTCCCCGCCCCTTCCTCCCTGAGTCTGTTCACGTACTCAAAATGACTCTGTCACCCTTCCCATGAGACAAAGCACCGCTGCTTTCGTAACACTAAGAAAACTGAAGTGGCGTCTTTCCATGGCTGTTTCTGCTCCTCTCAAAAGGTTCTGTCAGGTTTCGATGGAGCTCTTGCCTCCTCTCCCTCGTCGGCCTACCAAAATTGAACACTAGCCAAAGGATGAGCGTGGGAGAAGTCGTTGCTGCTTTTGCAGTGTCGAAAGCGTCATTCTGTGGTTTCATGGCTGCGTTCTTTTCTCCAAAATTGATAGGGGATCCTTGCATGAATATTCCTCTGGCCTCTGTCTTCTTCCACTTTGCAAAGAGGATACGAACTTGTACATGAGAGAAAGATACTGCTGCCTCCTCAAAATCCAAAAAGCCATCACTGCCGTTCATGGCTGAGTCCTTCCCTCCACACAAAAGCAGTTATACGCTTTGATGGACTCTCCTCTGGCCTTTGCCTTCTCTGAAAACTCTCAAACTGCGATTATGGACGAGAGAGAAACCTCTGCGGCGCCCGACGAGGTGTAAAACAACTACCTGTGTTTCTGGGATATGATCTTCTACACCACACTCCGCTTTTTCAAAAACCAAAATGGCTTCACGCTCTGTCGATGGCCTTGCTGTCTGCTCTGCTCTTTCTTTTAAAACCTGTGTAAAGTAGTCTCATGCGGCGGTCTCTGGCCTCTTCAAAATTACATGCTGAAGGGAACATGTGGTGCAGAAAAGATCTTGCCGACGTCCAATGCGCTCTAGTGATTGGGGGCGCGTATAAAAGGTCCTGTCTTCTTCCCGAGAGTTGTTCTTTTACACCACACTTTGCGCGTCCGAAATCTAAATCGACGGTGGAACTTCATATGACCTGGTCCTCTGTCCTTCCAAACTACGCGCAAGAAACTGGATGTGGCGGTCTCTGCTTCTCGAAAAAACTCTATCTCGACTTCTGATGACAAGCAGAATAATACCATAGCAGAAGCTATGATCGTTGGAGCGTGGGCAGGGTATAAATGATCTGTTCCTCCTCATTGAGACCTGATTATCTACACCACACTCTGCGTTCTCGGTATCTAAAAAAGCATTTAACCAGAACTGCATGGTCTCGTGCTCCGCTCTTTCTTTATTCCAAAAGTATGAAATACCAGAGATATGGAGTGGTCTCTACTTCTCAAAACAGGTACTAGCATGAGTACATTGCGCAAAAAGACGTGGAAAGCAGCAGCATGGAGATTGCGAGAGATTGAGGAGGGTATGAATGCAACCTTCTTGCTTCTGAGACCTGATCTCCTACACCACACTCCGCATTGCGTAAATTGTTGACTTCATGGTCCATGAATTTGCGCTCTGCCCTTCCAAAATGAGTACAAAACCGAGTTATGTGGCGGTCTCTGCTTCTTCAAAACTTTCATTGCACGGCACATGTCGAAGACAAGCACAGAACTCAGCCCTACATGTCCAGTTCGATGGAGCGTAAGAGGGATATAAAAGCACCCTTCTTCTTTCTAAGACCTGATCTCCTACACCACACTTCCTCATACCAAAAACCAAAATATGAGTAGAATGAATCGATGACTTTGCTGTCTGCTCCTCCTTCTTTCCAAAAAGGCTTTGTTCAGAAAGCATGTGGGGCTTTCTGCCTCTTAAAACATACAAACCTTCACGCTATGTTGCGCAAAAGTACTGCGACGATGGCGACATGGAGTTTGTGGGTTTGTGGAAGGTGTAAAAAGCTCTTTCAGGCTTGTGGTACTTGGTATCTTATCCCTACCCTCGTTGAAGAGTTGCTCAAAAGTACCCGATTCCGTCTTCATGGTGGTCTTCTTTCTTCCAAAAAGCGAAAGCCAACCTTCAAAGGCTGCATGTTCGTCTCTGAGTCTGCTGTTCAACTGCTGGGGCTTGCTACAAGACACCTGGACGTATTCCCATGGCGTGAGCACTTCTACCGAAAACTGTAGTCTCTTCGGTAATGTGGTCCTTTCCTCTGGCACTGGTTTTGTGACTTCCGCAACATCGACGACCTTGACGAAAAGATACTCTCACGAATGAGAGAAATCGCAAGTATAATACACTGGTTTTGTTAATCATTATACGAAGCATACACAACCAGATGCAAGATACCTGCTTCTCTCACATTCAGCAGATGCATGTCTTGTCAACTAAAAACGTAACCATGCACGATAAAATGACCTCTCTTCTTGCCCAGTTGCGTATAAAAGCCGCGCAAATCCTTCCCTTCTCCTTCTATATCACGGCTCCTTGTCTTCCAAAACCTGGACTGGAGCATCGTATGACTTCTCCTTCCAAATTTCCAAAAAGCAGCGTTATCCTGTGGCATGTTTCTGCCGCCTTCTCTCTCCCTCGTACCCTGATCTCGAAAAGCACCTGACGACAAGGTGATGAGTCCAAAAAGTACAAATCACTACATGTATGTTTTCTGGGCGTGTGGAGAGCTTGCTACGAAATTGGACAGCATCGCGCGATGTGTCGAAGGGCCGCACGAAGGCAAATGTACCACGATTTCTCTGATACGGTTCAATGCAACCTTGAAGCTGCCAACACTGCAGTACACGTGCACTGTCCTAGCACCCGGTCGTGCAGGCCGGGAATGTCTATATAAGTCTTCTGTAACCAACAGTTGCTTGTTCCTTCACCACAGAATAGCTTCTGTACTTCCAAAATTCCGAGCCACTTGAGCCATGTTCGCTCCTCCTTCCAAAAAAAACAAGTATTTCCGATTCATGGAGAGTTCTGCCTCCGCTTCCTTCCACACCATTCCGTGTTTCCACCAAGTCTCCTTCACTCGTTGACGGAATCAAAAAGGCCATGACGCTCTGCGATGTCGTCGTCCGTTGGATTTTGCGCGTACTACCCAAAATTGAAGAGTCACCGATGTATGTTTGAGTGTTTGGAAAGCGCGCTGTTCTCAGAATTATGATGGCAGGATGCAAATGCCATACCACACGTATGCATGGGAGTAGGAGAGAAATCGAAAGCGAATGTTAACGAATGCATGGTCTGTGTGCTCGGTAGAGGGCGTCATGGTATAAAGTTACTTCTTGTGACCCCCAGAAGTTGACTTTCTATACTTCACCCCTGCGAGGGAATCACCAAAAGAGGGTGACCTTATGGACATGATTTTTCGACTCGTTCCAAAAAGAGTAGTGCAACGCCTGATGGAGTTTGGCGCGGCTGTCTTGGTTTCTGGACGGCGAAAAGTCTGCTGACGATTCGCAACGAGCGAAGCACATACGATTTATCTCGGCCTTTTTGGAGTCGAAGAAAGGCTCAGAAACATAAGGTGTTTGTACTTGGCTTTTTGGCAATTATCGGTATTCGAGTTGTGAATGAGAGCTTTGATGGAAGGCTGTGGCAGCGGCGCACACGAAAAGACATCAGTTTTTCTTCTTCTTTTTGCTAGTCTCCATGTCATTTCCGCCTACTCATTTTGGACAACCAAACCCGCGGGCGTTGTATAAGAAAGGCTGAGCAACAGTGAGGACAGAGGTTTATATACCCGCGCCGACGGCACGACCGCACATTGGGTACTGGTGATCATGTTTTGGAAGTGATGCAGCTGCCTTTACCACGTTCAGAAAAAGGCGCCGACGAATACATGAAGTTCCTCTCGGCTGTCTTTTGGTCGCCACACCAGACATAACGCAGTCCTGCAACGTTTTTGAAAATCTCCACTTGCGGAGGGCGGCGCAAATCTCATCGAGAGGTGCATCGTTTGATTTGGGTCGATCATTTGTGTTTCATCTCCTTTTTTTCGTTGTCTGGCTACCTTTCGAAAGTGCCTGGCTCGTCTAAGAAAGAAAGGAAGAGCGGAACACATAACTCTTTTCCTCGAGAAGTTTTGAACTCGAAGCAGACCACCAGAACATTCAAAAAATCTTGCGTCTTTTTGATATTCCAGCAGAAGACGATGCGGAAGAAGAGGAACCACATGCGCGGCTCATATCATGCGAGTGGTTGATAAGCAATTCGGTGCCATGATGCACTCGTCGACATCTTTTTGAGTCGCAGATTTCGAGTTTGACGTGGATGAACGAAGGCATGGAGTTGTGCTCGGTGCTTTTATATTCGAATGCTGAGCGTTTGGTTACCATGAAGCATATCGTGAGCGCTTTTGGAGTGTTTATTTTGGAAGAAGGCGGAAGAAGACATGTATCTGTTCAGAAAAGGTCTCGATGCCATGAGCTGTTCTTTGAACGCTTTTTGAGAAAGAGAAGAGGTGGGTTTATGATGAGAAGGAAGGGGGAAAGCCGGCAGAGGATAGGTTTATATAGTGCTCTGCGTGGAAAACATGTGGTACCAACGCGAACCGAATCTGGAGCAATGAAATATATCTCATGGCGAAGTGGGGTATCTTTTGGAACGGCTGAGCGGTGTCGCTACTGGAACAACACATAGCGACGCTTTTGAGATCGCGGATTTCCACAATGAGCAAGCCGGTAATATCAGCTCTTGGTTATCAGTAAGGTAAAGAAATCCTTGTCAAGATTGTGATAAGTATTGGTATCAGATGCTACGCTATGCAAGGTAAACTGGATTAACAAACTTCGAATGAAGACAGAGATCATATGACGAGATGGCGAAGTGAATGTGCCAAAACGTCACCACGCCTGCTACCTGCCTTCCAGTCTCAACCGATCTCTACTCCTCCCTTCATCGCGTCTCGCGACGAGGAACCACAGACTGCTGATCCAGCAAAGTATTACGCCGATCCAGGTCTGCGCCGGACCCTTGAACAGTGTGATGGCAACAAGCTGGAATGCGCTTCGCGGAACCGCGACAAAGGTCGCCGTCAACGGAGACGTCGCCTTGACAAGCAGCAAAGTACCCGAGAAGACAGCCCATGAGCCCATACCACCAAAGAGCATCATGGCCCAGAAGAAGGGTACATCGAGGAACGGTATATTGTGGTATATATGTGGGACCTCACCGGAGAGGATCACGATCGGTGTGAGGAGCATGAGCGACACGAGGGACGTGTAGTGTAGCGTGCGGTAGAAAGCGCGAGTCTCCTCTCTGTTGCCGGGTTCTTCCGAGCCGCTGGGGTATCCGGTGAGCACATCGCCAGCGGGGACGAGGCCAGCGACGATCTTGCGGTATGTGCGGAGCAGGAGGATCGGATATAGCGCGACGAAGATGGAGGAGAAGACGCCGGCGACGACAGACTCCCAAGTGACGCGGACATTGGAGCGGTATGAGGCGAAGAAGAGGTTGAGGGTTGCGACGAGGGCGGAGGAGAGGGTGCTGCCATTGACGTTCTCCTTCTGCAGGACGCAGGCGAAGATGATGGCGAGCGGGGTTATGCCGATGCGTGCGAGTTGGTAGACGGGAAGAGGTGCGTAACTACTGCATGTTAGTACTGAAGAATATAGGGATATGATGGGTGTCCTACGCGAACGAGAAGTTGCTAAGCAGCACCTTCACGATGAAGACTACCGCAAGTGGAAGCACCTGTTTCGCGATTTGGAAATCGAACTCAAACAGGCCTCCGCCAGCGATTCCACCAGATCCATTCGATAACCATCGCGCAAATGCGTATATTCCAGGCTTCTTGTTGCCTCTAAAGGCTCCTCCCTGAGGCGCGGCGGGTTGCGAGGGCGGCACGGCGGCACCGAAGCCTATGAAATGCAGCGGATTACTGGAGAAGCGTAGGAGGCTCGATACGAGTATGAGGAGGATGTGCGTGATGATGAGTTGGGCGTAGGATTGAGTGAGGGGAAACGGGAATCTGGTGTTGTTAGTATACACCCAATACGCGTTTGACGTGTCCTCACTTGTAGACGCCCGTCAGCATGATGAAGCGGTTCATCAGCAGTAGCCCAAAACTACACCCGCCGACCCAGAAGACCAGCAATCCCACCCAGGCCTGCCAGCCCCTCCATGTGCCGAAAAAGAAAGCCCCAGGCCCGCCTTGCTGCCAGAAGCTGCGAAAGGCATGGCTTCCTCGTCCTACGTCATGACTGACCAACGGCCGTATACTGCTCGCTGGTTCGTATTCGTCGTCTTCGTCTTCGCTCTGTGCGGCGCTTCGATTGCGCGGATACGGACTGGTGCTGCGACTGCCAATATCGATCAATGGCACCGCGGGCTGCAGCTCCGACAGCGAGTTCTGCGTCGAATGACTCCGCCGTGACGTCTCCATTTGCGCGTAGAACTCGACGTCGGAGTGATCGGTATCGTCGATTGAGCTCGCGCTGTTGTTCCGGCGGTGTACGTTGCTGTCCTTTCTCTTTCTGTCCTTTGGCAGCTGTACGGGCCCCCGCGACAGATTGCTGAGGAAGTCGAGGGGCTTGCGGAAGGTGTTCTGGGTCGTCCGAGTGAATGCGCGTGACGAGTTCATCGTGTCCGCTTCATTGCGGAGAGAGAAGGGAGCATCAGCATGCTGAGGGTGTGCAATTGGTAAAAGTTGAGCACAGGCAGGTACGAAGGCCGGGCGACGCTGGACCCTGGCCTAGGCTAGGGGAAGTGGGCCCGTTAATTTCTGGGGACGCGCTGCCTCAACACCACCGACATGGCTCATGGTATTTCAGCTACTTGCCATACTCGTCTCCGGGCCAAACATGGGAGCGCAATTCTCGCATGCTGGCCAGTACAATGGTAGCATCACTCTCAAGGCAGCAGCAGCCGACCCCGCACCTCAACTTGTCAGGCTGACTTGCTGCGCACCTGCACTAACCTCAGCCTGGTGTCTTCTCATCACCTCTATCATATCACCATTCATGAGCAACTCATAACCTTTTCGAAACCAATGAACCGACCACGATGTCAGACGAGCTACTTTGTGGTCCATGCCAAAGATTTCTCAGCGGGGAAAATCCTTTATTGGGCTGGGAGGAAGAATATCTAAAATTCGCTCATCACACAACGGCCGAGTCTTTTCGGCAAGCTCTCGCATTGCCTTGTAGTATATGTAGACGTCTACAAAGCGATTTCAGTTACCTGACGCGTATTGTCGACCCCATTTTACTTGATGTGTGTAAATGGCTAACCCGTCACAGGCCACGAATCAGAGAATACATTCGAAGTGGCACCGACCATGTACCACTTAATCTCATCACACGCAGAAGACGATACCGTAGAAAAAGAACTGGACCTTTGCTTCACGTGCTCTGATGTTACAATCCAGATTACGTTGACGCCCAGGGCAACAAGCGAACAACCTCCTTACTTCCTTCTGACTCTCTCTGGTGTTGCAGTGGCGGATAGAAGTCTTGCTGCCAATCATACAGGCAGCGATGATTGCATCGATTTTGTATTGTCCCAGTTGGAACGATGCCGAGATACGCACACTGAATGTCAAATAATGCAGCAAAGCAGACAAGACACGACCAGGTTTTTGCCCACAAGATTGATCGATGTTGGCCACACTGGGGATCCAACGATTTGTCTTGTGGAGGCTGACGAGTGTGCTGGACAACCACCCTACATCGCGCTGTCGCATTGCTGGGGTAAGTCTCGGCCTCTTCAACTGACACGAAATACTGCAGCACGTCTTAAAGCAGGTATCACATTGATGGATCTGCCCAAGACATTCCAAGATGCCATCCATGTAACACGAAAGATGCGGATTCGGTATCTTTGGATTGATTCATTGTATGTCGTATTTAGTCAAGGTATCTCTGCTTTCCGCTTACTTGCTATAGGTGCATCGTCCAAGATGATGCTCGAGATTGGCAAAGAGAAGCTGCCTGTATGCAAGATGTCTACAGCCAAGCGATTTGCTGCATCGCAGCTACGGCTGCCAAAGATGCTGATGTCGGTCTCTTCTTCAATCGGGATCCACATGAGCAATTGCCAATACGGGTTTTTACGAGTAAAGCTCGAATACTTGGGCGAAAGGCAAACGAGCCCTTGCTAGCATACGTCATTGGCAGCCCAATTGTGACTTCTGCCATGGCTATCGATAATGCACCTTTGAACCAAAGAGCCTGGGTTGCGCAAGAACGATATTTGAGTACTGGAACCGTTCACTTCACACAAGAACTACTTTTCTGGGAATGTCGCGAATCTTTTACGAGCGAACAAGACCCTGACGGTAGCCGTATCGAAATAGCGACAATATGGTATGGAAATACCGCAGTACATACCTTAAAATCGAACATCTGTGACTACAAAAATCGACTGGCCATCGTGTCCGGGAGTCCGACCAGTGTCGACAGGCTCAAGGTCTTGTCATACATCCACAAAGACTGGTGTCACTTCAGGACCTCATATTCCGGCCTCAGCTTAACAAAGGAAGAAGATATATTCGTTGCTCTGAATGGCATTGCGAAGGCCGTTGCTGAAGTCACAAGCGACACCCTAGTTGCTGGTTTATGGCGAGGCCGGCTGATCGAAGAGCTATGCTGGGAACGATGTACCAATGAATGGGTGCATTCGATTGATGAACCTCCAAGGCCTTCTACATGGCGCGCACCTACATGGAGTTGGGCAAGCATCAATCGCACAATTGAAGGCCGTAAATTGTGGTGGGAGAATGACTCTTGGTTGGATTTTGTCCATGAGATGGCGGCAATAGAAAACCTCGCCGTGGATCAGAAGCCTTCTGGGCAGCTTGTCAACGCCTCTTTAACATTGACATGTCGCCTGATTCCGATACATCCACCGGATTCGGGTATCGGGGCATGGACGCCATATAAAGGTACCGTGGTTCTCGATGACTGTACCATCACAAACGCGAAGAATTTGGGCAACGAAGTCACTCTGGTGATTCTTCGTCACTTCGCACACGGGAGAGAAGGCAGTCTACAAGGCATATTAGTCCTGCCAAGTCAAGTCAAAACTGGCAGCTACGAACGACTGGGCTATTTTGAATGCATGGCCGCTAATTCCGCCCATCGTCTCTTCCGCGATATTAGTGATTTTGAGGAGGATAAGCGAATACTGCAAAGCGTACTTGACGGATACCACAACGCGCAAGAAACTACGATCGAGCTGATATGATACCACTCTGCATGGCTTCCGTCGATTCGAACGTAGCCATTACCGAGTGAGCAGTACACTTACGTTGCATCGCAAACACGTAGCGCATAACTACCAAACGTCGCATAGATATCTCACAGCACTTCGCCATCTCAACTCCCACCTGAGCATGCCATCACCATCCCCTCCAGACACGCACCTACCACCCCTCCAACCGGCCCTACATTCCCAGAGCGGAAGGTCGCCAACCCGCGCCAAGACACCCACCCGCCTTCTTAATGAGGCTTGTCCTACACCTACCAAGGCTTATTCCGCATGATGCCTTATCGCAAATCTCCACAGGGCATGTGGATCTGGTCCTTCTGTGCGCCTTTCCAGAAAAGGGCCGAGCCGTTGGTAGGATTGCGGAGATGTGCCTGTGTTGGTGGCGTTGTATCTGCTCACACCCGTGCGTGCATGGTGCAGGATGCGGTACGGAGGTGCTTTCCGGGGCGGGCGGGATGGTTGGTATTGGGGGAGTTGAAGGGGTAGGAGGATGGAGAGGGATTGGCGATGAGGAGCAGGAAAGTGATGGGCTTTGATCTACGCGGCGGTGCTGATGCTGTACGGTTTCTAGATGCGTGGTGACAAGGGAGCGCTCAAGTAGCCTTGGAGCGCAGCTGAAGTGCGCATGATATCCTCTATCTCTGTCCAATTCTGATGAGTGAGCAACAGCAGGAGGACATGATCGATACTACAACGCCTTTCGGGTTAGCCCTGTTCATTCTGGGGTTCAACGTCCGTACATGTCCGTTTGGTACATGTATTGGATCCACTGAGGACGAAGCCGAACGTTGACTCCGGTTCCTGACGGGAGGGAACGCGGTGGCTGGCGGCTCCATCATCAGGAATATCGTTTCGCAGGATACTGCGGCGTTGGAAGACCAGATGGGGTGGTGCATAGGTTCTGCGAGATAGCTACCATGATCTATCCATGCAAGCAGAATCCTTCGGCTCGAATTTGAAGGACAGGGGACGGGCCGTTGCTAGATACAGTATGCTGCGGCAGGACTCGGTGTTACCAACACGTCTCAATCATCCCGTGGACTCGCACTTTGTTGTCGGGCTGTGCGTCTTGAACAGCTCGATTGACCTTCTCTTTGGGGGTCTACTTGCGAAAACTCGAATTGTCCATGTGAACGTCGACTCGTCAACCATGGCGTATATAGCGCCATTCGAATGTCGGTCGCATCAAGTTACTGTGACAGTCAAAGTTGGTGTAGAGACCGAAGAGGAAGGTCACTTCGTCCCGTAAGCCATAGAACTCGCGCCATGGGTACTGCATCCGACTGCATAATCGATCAACACCAAAGTCCACGATACCAGTAAGTGTACCTGCATGATGGTTGGGCGACAACAGACCCACGGCCAAAGGGTAGCCTGTATGTAGAACATGTAAGCTAAGGCAAGCCATCATCCCTCCCTACATGCAGCTAACTCTACCATGCAGCCAGCCCATGGCGGAGGGGTGTGGGGTCATGGCCCGACGTAAGCGCTGGTTGCGATTGCGTTTTCTTGGCACGGGCGGAAGATTGACGCTCAGGGAAGGTCCTTAACCGTCGCGTGAAGATCGTCGCAGGGTCTGAGATACGAGGAGATCATGGGAGATCATGCTGCTGGCGCTACGTACGGAAGTGTCTAGCGTGGTATGGAAGGGATGACAAGTTGACTCTCTTGGGATATCAGTGCGTATGGAATGCTTGTGTTTGAGACGATGAATTCTAGGTGTGTCGTGGGCATCCACCTCTTCCGGTTCTTGCGAGCTATCGACTCAAACGATTCTTTCGGGTTAGCAAACGCCTAATACACGCTTGATATGAGGTATCATCCGTTTTCACCTGCCGGCCATATCGGCGAGCTGTTGTCTCCAAGTGCATCAAGCTCCCAATAGATCACGCGCATTTGCTGCCACAACAGTCATGTGATGACCCGTTCTTGTCCGTAGTGACATGCCACGAGGGTCGATCTTTCGACCTAGACGTTGGGACAGACAGCTGTCACTTGTTGCGACGGGAATATAGCGGGATCTCAAACGACGATCTTTGCGAGTTACCCAAGTGGAGATGGAAAACGTAAGAAGGTTTTGCCTAGGGACTTGTTGACACCGGCTGGTGATGTCGTGACAGGAGAATACCGAGATATCGTGAGCGATGCCGGCCTGGCTCGTGCGCTGCGCACGTGCCCATGGCGGGATCTCGGCACCGGCCAACACCCGGACCTGAGATGGGAGCGGGTCCTGAAGAACCACGCCAAAACACCACGCCACACCCTTTCGCCTTCACAGCTTCGCCAACTACACTTGAAGACGGGTCGTAGGTCACCTTAGTGGGCGGAGTACATCACGCAACAGGCAGGAGACATTCTGCCATGCTCACATCT